AACGATGAGAAAGAGAACAAGAAAGAGAACGAGAAAGAGAAAGAGAAAGAGAAAGAGAAAGAGAAAGAGAAAGAGAAAAAGAAAGTGCGAAAGACAGAAAGTGAGAAAGAGAAAATAGAAAGAATGAGAAAAAAGAAAGAAAGAAAGAGCGAGAGAGAGAGAGAGAGAGAGAAAGAATTAAAGAAAAAGACAGAGACTCGTCATTTTCGTGGAGTGTTGCATAGAACGCGGCAGTTGAGCATTGGCGCAGTGTGACTTCCTCTGCAGTAGGGCTAATGTGAGCAATATGTTTGCAATGCTGTAAGACAGACCACACACTAGCTAGTCACAGAAGAAGCTATGCTAGGAAATAGGTTTAGTGGTAGAAGGCATCATGAGAAGAAGAAACTCGAGGGGAGGGAGAGAGGCAGCCGAAGAGGAGCCTTGCAAAAGAAGGGGCCGTGAGAATAACTGAGGAGGAAGAGAAATGAGAGGAGGTATAAGGGGAAGGCATGAGTTCGGGACGAGCCAGAGTAGGAAGAAGCAGAAAACGGAAACAGTAGCAGTGGAAGCAGCAGCAGAAGAAGTTGCAGGAAGGGTCCCCAAAGGAGATGATGATGAAAAAGCCAAGGAACAAAAAAACATTGAAGAAGTCATACAATAGGAGACGCCACGTTTTCTCCTTCATTTCACATCTGCCAAACATCACTGACCATTGTAGCATCATACCCCCACCATCCCACCCTGGCCACCTAAAATGAAAACCTCCTGCACAGCTTCCCCTCTAACAGCTTCCTTTCTCACAAGAAGATGCGAGCACAGAGGCTTGCCATTCCCTAAGAAAGCACTTGCTCACGAAATGCTGCCATTATACGACTTCACTCCTCATCTCCCCCTTCTGCCTCTGCCTCCCCACTCTCCGCCTTTCCATCATCGCGCTGCACGATCGCTGAATGGAAACTGGCGGTTTGACAAACTCCCTGCGGTATTTATCCAACAGATTGCCATTTAAATTTCCTTGTTGTTTGAATTTGGTTATATATATTCTGCGCCCTGACATTACGTGCGCTTGACATGGCGCGCACACGGCCAGAGGGCCTTTGTGCACATAATAGGGCTGATTCTACTGCTGCGTGGCAAAGGCCATTTATTCAAATTTGCTTTTCAACGATCGCGCTTTATAAAAAGCCCTAATACAGTTTGAGAATGAAATATTATAATGCCGACGGCGCTCGGGAAATTTAATAGCGACGCTCATGAATGATAAATCTCGACAAAGTGAACATCGCTTTGCCACAATGATATACAACACGTGCCACTCATTTACTGTCGACGCATAATGGCACGGACGGCGTAACTCTCAATGAGGCTTCCTGACGACGTTTTGCAAATGCAATTACGAAGGCGAGACGAGCGGCGCGCTGTGCGTGGAGAAATCGCCAGAGCTTCGTAGATGCAATGGAGGCTGCGCGACGTAACGCGCGTGAGTGATGATTTATGTGCGGCGAGCGGTTTTTATAGAAGCGAGGCCGGTTTATAAGGGTCAGCGACGACACACCTCGTAGCCCTGACGATTGTTCGCAGACGCCTTTTTGTGCACAACGTCTACCGGATGGTCTACCGGAAATCATTGTTACGTTTCGCTTTGATGTAATACTTTAGGCACGGCCGCATTACCACACCTGTCACTGAACGATATGTCGACAATTAATGGGGTAGTTTACGCCAAGCCTATATATGGTAGTTCGAGCCAAACTTCTATTCGGTATTTTAAGCCAAATATGTACACGATCGTTCAAGTTAAACATTTATATGGTAGTTCAAGCCAACCAATTATACGGTAGTTCAAGGTTAACCTTTACTTGGTAGTTCAAGCCAAGCCTTTTTATGATAGTTCAAGTTTTAGCTGAAGAAGGCATCACTAACTTTGAAGGTATTTGAGAGTGGAAAAGTATTCCTCTCCTACATTTAGAGCTATGAAGAGATTGGAAATAGTATTTCCCACATTCTTGTGGTTTGCTGGAAGGGAGAAGGTCCCACCACTATCAGCTAGAGGAATGCAGGGATAACAGCACACATATAAGACAAGATCCACGACCCCGGCCCCTCCACCCTTATAGTAGTAGTGTGCAAGAACATAAGAACGTCTTTCCACCCTTAGTAGTGTGCAAGAACATAAGAACGTCCTTCCACCCTCAGTAGTGTGCAAGAACATAAGAACGTCTTTCCACCCTCAGTAGTGTGCAAAAGGGTGGAAAGACGTTCTTATGTTCTTGCACACTACTGAGGGTGAAAGGACCTTTATCTGTTATTGCACACTACTGAAGGTAGAAAGACGTTCTTATGTTATTGCACACTACTGAGGGTGGAAGGACGTTCTTATGTTCTTGCACACTACTAAGGGTGGAAAGACGTTCTTATGTTCTTGCACACTACTGAGGGTGAAAGGACCTTTATCTGTTATTGCACACTACTGAAAGTAGAAAGATGTTCTTATGTTACTTTCACCCTCAGTAGTGTGCAAGAACATAAGAACGTCTTTCTACCCTCAGTAGTGTGCAAGAACAGATGAACGTCATTGCCCAATCCTGAGGGAGACACGGACATATTTAGACCCTTGCCTATTCCTAAGAAATACACGGACATATTTATACATCTGCCTATTCCTGAGAGATACAAACACAACATTACACCTCTCACACATTATCAGTGTGAGACTTGAGATCACCATCACTGTAATACTGTCTCCATCACACCTGTAGAAATATCATCCGAGGTAAGTAGCCATTCGGATATTTCACTCACTCGCAGCATAGCATGTGAACTACAAGTTATCTTTGTCTGTTCTTCCTTTCAATGTGGAAAAAAAGATATATGTATATACCACTTGCGACAGTGTGTACGATTATGAAGACGATGAAGGTGACATACCTGTGCACCGAAAGCCACCAACTGCCCGGCTGCGTTGGTGATAAACTGAGGTACTGTAGCCACCTGAGCACTGCTGATAGCACCTGCCTGTTGACCCGTTGTCACACCTGTCAGCACACACAAACACAATCTTAGCACAGTGCCTACAACTGCCCTATCCGCCCAGTGCGACGGACTGTCGTAACATCATCTAGGGTGATATGGTTATTTCGTTCAGACAGACAGGCCTTCAGCATGATGCCTAAGCAGCCTGCGATACACAGCCGAAACCTTCACACTTTGTAAGACTGAGGACAGCTTATGCAGACGGGATCGTAAGGGGGCGCCACACTGCACGTGCAATTAATGATGCAAAATATCATAGAGGGATAATCAAGAAAACTACACTAAGAAAACTATGGCGGTGGAACGCGCCACAAAGTGTAAACAATCGCACTCGTGGGCCATTGATAATACATTGTTATATGATAAAAGGTTGGCGAGCTACTCCATCCACTTGCTTTCTCGCCTGCCCTTTAAGAAGCATTATTGCGGTGGAAGCATAAAGTTATTCAATTGCACCAATATATTATGCATGCTCTATACGTTATATACGTGCTACGCACACGTGTGACCACACACGAGTTCTCTACCTGAATTACGATGACTAAATTTAAATGTCATGGCGAAACCATATGCTACGTACATGTGCGGCACCTCGCGATTTCTCTATGTGTACTACGAGGATGGAAAATTTATACACTGCACTGAAACTGTGCTATATGCACACACGATCAAGAATGTAGATACCTAGGCTACGAAGAGGGAATATTTAAATGCTGCGCCCACCAACGCACGATGTGCTTAACTGCCTGAATTACGCAGACGAATAATTCAAGTGCCACGTTAAAACATGTCGCTTCTATTTCGTTGAAATTTTTGATTTTTAGTGTGTGGAGATTTTTCGTCTGCATCCGTGAACACGTGTTCACTACTAAACTACGTGACTATACTACACACACACATGAACTACATAAAGGGAATCACCATGTTGAAACTGTATGCGTAAACCTATGTCCACATGATAAGCACGTGCATGCGTGGGTTTGCTATCTACCTGAACTACAAAGAGGCTAAACTTAAATGCTACGCCGAACAGACATGATGTACAGATCTCATGTTTGCTATCTGAACTATTAAACTGGATAATTACGGCACATTGAAACTTCCACGCGCACAAGTGCGACCACATAAGAAATTTGCTAAATTAAAAATGTCGGTGAAACTTAAAACGCCGAGTCAAAACCGCCAACCTCGCGCACGTGCGCGAGTTCGTTACTCAAACTATACAATGACAGACAAGTGCAAAACATCACATCGAAAACCGGCGAGCGCGTGCACGCGCGAGCGAATTCGCTACCTGAATTATGAAGGGGGATATTTAAAGGCTGTGTCAAACCCTGCAGGCCGGCTAGCGACGCGGCGAAGATCTGCCCGTTCGACGTGACTAGCTGCACGTTCTGCGCTGAACAGCCGGCCGTCGCCGTTGCCAGGGATACTGGAATGAGGATCTGTTGGGTTGTCATACCTGCAACGACAACCAAAAAAAAACACGACATTTTTACACGGATCAGCAAAAAAACAAAAACGGTCCAGGACTGGAAAAATCTCAATCATCATCGCAGCTCTCGTTTTTCGATCCGTGTCGCCGCCGAAATACGGCCGTCTCGAATGCCCAGAGTGCCTTAGAAGCATGCGGGTTCTTCGCAAATCATGGATCGATGCCCCTGATAAGTGGCAATACGACCCCGCGCCATTTACAGCCACGGTGACGCGACACGGAGCACCGTAATTTCGACGACGAGCGATCGCCATCTGCCCGCGTCGTCGTCGTTCGTTCGTTCTCGGCCGAACAGGCGCTGCCAGCATTAGGTCAAGGGTCAGGAGTCGGTAAACAGCGCCCGGGTCGGGTGAGCGCGAGGTCGCGAGGTATTGATCGCGGAGGCATCGCGTCCAGCGAGGATGAATGCCTGCGACACGGAGCCCTCGACCCGGCCACGTGCAGATGATGTGCATACATTATCATAGATGCAGCCAGTGCCCCCTACGAGATGCACGTGGACGTGGCGCCCTCGCCCCAGCCACGCATGGAACGTGCCGCTCGTCAGCCAGCAACGCCGCGCGACACGCAGGCACCCTCACCTGCTACGCCAGCCGTGGCGTGGCGCCCTACCCCAGCGCACGCCCAATGGACGCGGCGCCCTCACCAGCAGCGCCGTGGACGCGGCGCCTCACCCCAGCCACGCAGTGACGCGACGCCCTCACCCCAGACATACCCCGCGCACCTCCCTGTGGACGTTGGCGCCTCCTACGCCCAGCCCACGCCATCACGTGCAGACGCAGGCGCCTCCCCAGGCCGCCACCATGCGACCCAACCCGGCGCCCTCACCCCAGACCGCGCATGCGGACGCGGCGCCCTCACCCCAGCCGCAAACTCCAATGAACGCGGCGCCCCTCACCCCAGCACCTGTGGCACGCGGCGCCTCGGCCCCAGCCGCGCATGGACGCGCGCCCTCGCCCCACGCCGCACGCGTGGACGTGGCGCCCCTCGCCCCAGCCACGCTGTGCGACGCTGGCGCCTCCTTAGCCCAGCACGCGCGTGGCCCGCCGTCTCAGTGGACGCGGCACCCCTCACCCAGCCACGCATGGACGCCGGCGCCCTCGCCCCCAGCCCGCGCAGTGGACGCGGCGCAAGCGCACCTCACAACGCCGCGTGCACGCCGGCCGCCGCTCACAGAGCCTGCGCGTGGACGCGGCACCCTCACCAGCGCGTGGACCGCGGCACCCTCACAGCCGCGCGTGGACGCGGAGCGCTCCCTCGCCCCAGCCGCCGGGACGCCGGCACGCTCACCCAGCCGCGTGGGGACGCCGGCACCCTCACCCCAGGCCGCGCATTGTGGACGCAGGGCACCTCGCCCCAGCTGCGCACCGGACGCGGACGCCCTCACCCCAGCCGCGGTGGAGCGCACCTCGCCCCAGCGGCTGCGCCGGACGCGGCGCCCTCACCCCAGCGCGCTCTGGTGGACGCTGGCGCCCTCACCCAGACCACGCATGGGACGCGGCCGCCCTCACCCAGCCGCGCGTGGACGCGGGCCTCGCCCCCAGCACGCATGCGGGACGCGGCACCCCTCACCCCAGCCACGCATGGACGCGGCGCCCCCTCACCCAGCAGCGCTGTTGGACGCGGCGCCCTCACCCCGAGCGGTGGACGCCGGCACCCTCACCCCAGCCACGCATGGACGCGGCACCCTCACCCCAGCCACGCGTGCGACGCCGGCCACCCTCACCCAGCCCACCGCATGGGACGCGGCACCCTCACCCCAGCCACCGGCGTGCGACGCGCACCCTTCGCCCAGCACGCATTGGACGCGCGCCCTTCAGCCCCAGCCACGGTGGACGCGCGCGGCCCTCGCCCCCAAAGCCACGCATGGCGACAGGCCCACCCTCGGCCCCGCCACCGCATGGCCACGCGCGCGCCCTCACCCCAGCCACGCCCATGGACGCGCGCCGCCTCACCAGTCCCACGCATGCGCACCGCGGCACCCTCACCCAGCAGCGCGTGGACCCGGCGCCCCGCAGCGCGTAGTGACACGCTGGCGCCCTCACCACCCCCAGCCAGCACATGGCACGTGGCGCCCCTCACCAGCCCGCCGCCGGACGCACAGGCACCCTCGCCACAGACACGCATGCGACGCCCGGCCCGCCCCTCACCCCAGCACGCTCTCCCGTGCGACGCCCGGCGCTACCTACCTCGTCCCCCAGCCACGCATGAACGCGCCGCCCTCGCCCACAGCACGCCCCATGAACGCCGGCGCCCCTCACCCCAAGCCAGCATGGACGCGTGGCCCGCCCTCACCCCCCAAGACACGCCACCCCCCCAACTCTCATGCGACGCGGCGCCCTCGCCCAGCACGCAATGGACGCGGCGCCCTCACCCCAGCCACGCCCGTGGAGCGCGGCGCCTCACCCCAGCACGCTATGGACGCGGCGCCCTCGCCCCAGCCACGCATGGACGCGGCGCCCTCACCCCAGCCGCGCATGGACGCGGCGCCTCACCCCAGCCACGCCATGGACGCTGGCGCCTCCTCAGCCCAGTCCCGCGCACGAAAACGTGGCGCCCTCACATAGTGCACCCTGTCTGCAGCGCCCCTAACCTGTCACTGCAGACACAGCACCTTACCCAGACCATGCCTGGATGTTGTATCCTCACCCAGTCCATATCGCCTGCTATGCACCACCGTGGACACAATGCCCAGGGGGGCTCTCTCAGCAACCCTCCGTCCCATCAGTGCAGCCATGGCACTCTCTACAGACTGTTGAACGGGGAGGAGAGACATCTGGGACATTGTGATGGATGTTCTCGTGTTTTCTGCCTCGATGTCCGGGGGAGATCGACGACGCCTGCCTACCGCGACTAATTAATTTACCTGCCATGCTGACAGAGGCGACCGGTTACTCGGGGAACGCGGGCGTTATGGGGATCGAGTTTAATCGACACCTCAGAGTGTCCCTCGAGTTCAGCAGAGCAGCAAATTTAAACGGCAACAACAGCGTGTTCTCGTGTTCGCCTCGTCTCGTCTCGCTGCCCCGCGCTATTGATTCCACATAGTGAGGAGGGAGGGAAGGAGGGAGAAACAGATGAACGTCATTGCCCAATCCTGAGGGAGACACGGACATATTTAGACCCTTGCCTATTCCTAAGAAATACACGGACATATTTATACATCTGCCTATTCCTGAGAGATACAAACACAACATTACACCTCTCACACATTATCAGTGTGAGACTTGAGATCACCATCACTGTAATACTGTCTCCATCACACCTGTAGAAATATCATCCGAGGTAAGTAGCCATTCGGATATTTCACTCACTCGCAGCATAGCATGTGAACTACAAGTTATCTTTGTCTGTTCTTCCTTTCAATGTGGAAAAAAAGATATATGTATATACCACTTGCGACAGTGTGTACGATTATGAAGACGATGAAGGTGACATACCTGTGCACCGAAAGCCACCAACTGCCCGGCTGCGTTAGTGATAAACTGAGGTACTGTAGCCACCTGAGCACTGCTGATAGCACCTGCCTGTTGACCCGTTGTCACACCTGTCAGCACACACAAACAAAATCTTAGCACAGTGCCTACAACTGCCCTATCCGCCCAGCGCGACGGACTCGTAAGGGGGAGCCACACTGCACGTGCAATTAATGATACAATATATCATAGAAGGATAATCAAGAAAACTACACTAAGAAAACTATGGCGGTGGAACGCGCCACAAAGTGTAAACAATCGCACTCGTGGGCCATTGATAATACATTGTTATATGATAAAAGGTTGGCGAGCTACTCCACTTGCTTTCTCGCTGCCCTTTAGAAAGCATTATTGCGGTGGAAGCATAAAGTTATTCAATTGCATCAATATATTATGCATGCTCTATACGTTATATACGTGCTACGCACACGTGTGACCACACACGAGTTCTCTACCTGAATTACGATGACTAAATTTAAATGTCATGGCGAAACCATATGCTACGTACATGTGCGGCACCCCACGATTTCTCTATGTGTACTACGAGGATGGCAAATTTATACACTGCACTGAAACTGTGCTATATGCACACACGTTCAAGGATGTAGATACCTAGGCTACGAAAAGGAAATATTTAAATGCTGCGTCCACCAACGCACGATGTGTTTAACTGTCTGAATTATGCAGACGAATAATTCAAGTGCCACGTTAAAACATGTAGCTTCTATTTCGTTGAAATTTTTGATTTTTAGTGTGTGGAGATTTTTCGTCTGCATCCGTCAACACGTCGTGTTCACTACTAAACTACGTGACTATACTACACACACGTGAACTACATAAAGGGAATCACCATGTTGAAACTGTATGCGTAAACCTATGTACACATGATAAGCACGTGCATGCGTGGGTTTGCTATCTACCTGAACTACAAAGAGGCTAAACTTAAATGCTACGCCGGACAGACATGATGTACAGATCTCATGTTTGCTATCTGAACTATTAAACTGGATAATTACCGCGCATTGAAACTTCCATGCGCACAAGTGCGACCACATAAGAAATTTGCTAAATTAAAAATGTCGGTGAAACTTAAAACGCCGAGTCAAAACCGCCAACCTCGCGCACGTGCGAGAGTTCGTTACTCAAACTATACAATGACAGACAAGCGCAAAAAATCACATCGAAAACCAGTGAGTGCGTGTATGCGCGAGCGAATTCGCTACCTGAATTATGAAGGGGGATATTTAAAGGCTGTGTCAAACCCTGCAGGCCGGCTAGCGACGCGGCGAAGATCTGCCCGTTCGACGTGACTAGCTGCACGTTCTGCGCTGAACAGCCGGCCGTCGCCGTTGCCAGGGATACTGGAATGAGGATCTGTTGGGTTGTCATACCTGCAACGACAACCCAAAAAAAACACGATATTTTTACACAAATCAGCAAAAAAAAAAACGGTCCAGGACTGGAAAAATCTCAATCATCATCAGAGCTCTCGTCTTTCGTTCCGTGTCGCTGCCGAAATACGACCGTCTCAAATGACCAGAGTGCCTTAGAAGCATGCGGGTTCTTCGCAAATCATGGATCGATGCCCCTGATAAGTGGCAATACGACCCCGCGCCATTTACAGCCACGATGACGCAACACGGACCACCGTAATTTCGACGACGAGTGATCGCCATCTGCCCGCGTCGTCGTCGTTCGTTCGTTCTCAGCCGAACAGGCGCTGCCAGCACTAGGTCAGGGGTCAGGAGTCGGTAAACAGCGCCCGGGTCGGGTGAGCGCGAGGTCGTGAGGTATTGATCGCGGAGGCATCGCGTCCGGCGAGGATGAATGCCTGCGACACGGAGCCCTCGACCCGGCCACGTGCAGATGATGTGACATTATCATAGATGCAGCCAGCGCCCCCTACGAGATGCACGTGGACGTGGCGCCCTCACCCCAGCCACGCATGGACGTGGCGCCCTC